CTTATCTATAATTCAGCTTCTGCATGAGTAAAACATAGGCACTTTCCCCCAGGAGGGTGATTCAAATGAACAAGATGATGTTTACAACATTAACCTTACCATACAGGAGGGTGCCAGTAGCATCTGCACCGCCGCCCCCTTGGCTCTGGCTCTCAGCAACCCTGCCCAGACACTAAAATGGTATCACAGAATCATAGAAAATTAGGGTTTGAAAAATTGAACTACAATCAACTCTCCTGGACTTCTTTCCCCCTCAGACTGGCCTTCCAGGGGATCCTGCCCATCAGTTCTCTGAGCAAGTCCAAGTCTACTTTTCTGAAGTCCAAAGTCCTTACTCTGCTGCTCTCCATCCTTCCTTCCTTCTCTCAGGATCCTGAACTCAATCATCTCATGGTTGCTGCTGCCCAAGTTGCCATCCACTATTACATTCCCCACCAGTTTCTCCCTGTTTGGAAGCAGCTGGTCAAATTTGTGAGCAGCAGGTCAAGTTCAGCAATAGCTAGTTATGCTTTTTGTTCACAGGAACCCTATGCAGTGAAGAGAAAGAATTAGGCTCTGCCAAAGGGCAATCCAGAGTGACTGTGTGCTGAGCAATGAGTACCTAAAGCAGTGATTGTCAACCATGGTGCTAGGGCACTGTGGGGGTGTTGTGAGAGCCCATTAAGGGTGCCACACCACCTTGCTCCTATGTGAGGTGGTAAACCCTCTGGCTCCTGCATCCAGGGGCCTAAGCCTACCCCACCTACTTTGGAGGCACCTGCATTTTCTTCTTTGATGAATTTCATGGCACTTGAGAATCAATGAGCTTGAATATAATTTCAGAAAAGATATAGAGGGTGCTTTGAAGCTAAGAAAGTTGAGAACCACTGATATAGCTGGTACCACATAAATGCTGCAGGCGCTTCTGCTGCCTTCGACCCCTTCCTTTGCCCCCATGCAACCCCCATACTAGCTACTCCCACACACCCAGCATCCTGCTCTGCTGCAGGTAGGTGGATGCACAGATATCCGCACTTTGCAGCCTGGCTCATTCTCTCCACGCCTCCAACACTCCCAAGGGCAGTGGGAGGGCCCACAGGGGTTGTTGCTAACATACGTCTCAGTGGTGGTGGCTGCCCTTGCCCCCTCAGGTACAGATGGCGGGAGCGGGGGAAGAGGCAGTGGAAAGAACAGGGCATGGCAGCCCCTGCAACTCTTATGTGGTACCAGTTAGATCAGTGGTTCTCAAATTTCTTAGCCTCAAAGCACCCCTCTATATCTTTTCTGAATTTAGATTCAAGCTCATTTGATTCTCAAGTGCTGTGAAATTCATCAAAGTCATGGAGGGTGCCTTGAGGCTAAGAAAGCTGAGAACCACCAGTCAATAGGAAACACAGGGTACTTTGGAACTTCAGGCCTTCAGAGATGTCTCTAGCCTCAGAGGTCCCAGACTGCCCTACAAAGAAGTATTCCTGAAGTATACAGATTGCATTGACTTTAAGATGTCATGCAGTGCCCATGGCCACTTTCACTTAAAACCAGAGACAAAGGAAAAATGCAAAATGACCAAGCAGTAAGAGCACTCAGAAGAAGTAAAGAACCTAGATTTTAGGCCTTCACCATGGCTGGATGTCAAACCTTCATCTCTAATCTCCCAGGACAATGCTCTTGCCACACAACTGTTGACTCCAGTTCCTTCTCTCTATGTTACTTATGCACTTTACATTAAAACAAAATGAGAAATAATCCAGGCACAGGGACCAACACCCATAGCTTGCCCCCAGTCCAAAGGAATGCCCTCACCACTGGGTGACAGGGTCAGGATCCCTCTCTCTTGCTTTCCTAATGGCCCCCTAAACTGCACATGCCTGGCTGATCATTGAGACAAATGGATAGTGCTCCCAGATTTTGTGGTTTAACCACTAAATTATCTGCAACCGTTATCTCTTTCCTGAATTTGCAGGTACAGCGTCTATGAGTGCTGTGCTCTGAACTGAGCTCAGTGCTGTTGGTGCTTCTCCAGGGACTTAAGCAGTTTAGGCTCTTCCCTAAACTCTTCTTAAGTTGGTATGGAAGACAGCAGCAAGAACTGGGCATTTAAGTGCTCAAACTAGATCATTTCTGAGAACACTCAGAAGCTTAAGGCGCCTAGAGATATTTCAGCCTAAAACAGAGGTACTTAGTGAATTTAGGTGTCTAAGTGATGTAGGGGCCACTCAAGTGGGGTTGATCTGAAGCTTTGTTTTGTGACTTAGGGACATAGATTCAGCAAAAGTCTCACTTATTCACCTGAGTGGTTTGGATCTTGCCCTTAACAATTAATCCTAAAAAAACTCTTGGGTGGGTAAAGAAAATCCCCTGTTAGTATTGGCATCAAAAGTCTTGTTATACTGCAGACAATGGGAGCTTTCCCTGGATTTTAAAAGAAGCAGAATCAGGCCTAATGTAAATCAGACTAACATTTGAGTTCCTGCCAGTTCATACCTTTCCCAAATCAGATATCTAAAGAGAGCTGGCATTCAATTCCAGATTTTCAGAAGGCTTCTCCCACAGCAGGGGAAGCTATCAGCTGTCCAGTGTGCTATGACTTACATCTAGAATTAACAGCAGGCACAAAACGTAGACACAAACTGCACCCTGATTCCTGGGGAGAGGACACTAAACTCCTACCCCCCAAATCAGCAGGTTGAGTTACTGACAGCAATTTTATTGTGTTTTCTTTTAAACCAAAACCCATTGATATAGGCATCAGTTTATTGCCTACCCCATCATACTGTTTCCAAACTCCAGGCCACTAATGGTGACTTGGTTAAGTTAGCGGTATTTGGATAAGAACTGTTTCTATAGGGAGCATGAAGTACGCCTGGTTTGAAAAGCTGGGGTCAGCTTGAAGGGAGCTGTGATGATTTATAGCATTAGAGGGCCTGTCCCAGTGTTTTTTATGTAACAGGATGACAGGATTCTTTTGCTCATCTGCACCATAAGCGCTGCCATTGGAAACTAACAGAGAGACACTAATTGATTCACTCTTGTAACGTGTTCAGGCACCGAGCCTGACGGAGGTAGTATGGATATGTCTGCATGGCACACGGGGTGCAATCCTGAGGCATGCCATGCTAGCTCTGCACACTGTAGCTTCCATAGCACTGCAGTGTCATTTCTCAGCAGCAACAGCTTCTTACTTTTCTCGCAGCAAGAGCTCATTGGCCCCACACAGCACTGCACTAAAACATGGACACTATTTCCAAATTGGCATGCCACTGTCTTGTATCTTATAATTATTCCCTCTCTGTTTTTGTGTCTGTCTATACAGCTTCTTCAAAACTCTTGAGAGCAACCCCCACCCAACCGCTCCTGCTTCACACATCAAACCCAGAAATTAGGCAGTGAAGTTGCCCAGGGGGCACCCTCTGCTGCTACTCTTGAGCCTACAGGAAACAACTTGAAAACTTGTGGGAACCCCCAAGGTGGCTTCAGTGTTTTGGTACATGCAAACTGGGAGCTGGTAGATAGGACTAGGCTTCCTGGTGGTGCTCTCAGAGTGTCTTGGAAGTAGAGAAGGAGTACTCTGAATGTGTTCCTAGGGAGAAAGAAGAAAGCCTGCTTGTGTCTTTATCCTGCAATTTCAGATAGCAGCAGCAGAGGGGAGGTAGGGACTCAGGAGAATTCTTCCCTGTAAATTGTGTTGAATCCAAGCATTTGGTGTTACAGATGAAAAAATGGGCAGAAAGATTGTAGATTTAATTTGAATAAAGTCCTATCATTGGGAACTGCATTTTAAAAAGCAATTTAGCCTCAATACATCTGCATTTAATCTCTGTAGCAGATTGTCCTTAAGAGCTTCCTTGTGCTGTAATTTTAGCTCACATTGTTAGGAAACAAGAAGTTAAATAGTTCAATCACTGTAGTTTTTCCCTGACCTTTCATGGAACTGTTTCAAATTGAACTGTGGACTGTACCAGCTTGCCAAGTGCTAAATTTGAGAACATCCTAGTAAAAAATGTAGGTTTCGTTTATAAAACCTAATAAAGGAATTGAAGATTTAATTGTACCTTGCAGAAAAGACCCCAATATTAAAGAGTTTCTCTTTTTTTCCCCCCTAGATGAAGAAAAAACTCTGGGTCTAGAAAATACTGATACCATGAAGACAGGGCTCCAGAATTTTGCCACGTGGTGGTGTGTTTATAGATGAAATCTTTATGCATGGTGAGACTGAGAAGGCTCTCATCAGCTGAGTGTCATCCTTAAAATGGCCAATTATAATTTCAATATCTAGCAATCTAAAATGGGAAATGCCACTTTTTTCTCTTTATATCTTTTTGATCTTTATTCTTTATCAACAGACTTGACTCCAAAAGGAACATATCTTGGGTTACAATGGAGAAAACAACTGATAACGTAGGATTCAATAAAACATTTTATAAAAGTGGCTTCCTTTTAAACACTGTATTATAGAATTATAGAAAATCAGTTTGAAAGGGTTGTTAAAACATCATCTGGGCCACGTATCTGTGTAGGTACTTGGCAGTTCCAGCCCATGGTGAATTCCCTGCTGCCCCAGACAGACGGCTACTGTGACTGCAGCACAGGCACACGTTCTCTTCCAGGTCAGTCTGTTCAAAACCCAGCTAATGGCATTTGCAAAGGCCGGTTGTCAAGGGCAGTCTAGTAAACACTAAAAAAGTAAAGCAGCATGAGTGTGTGAGGAGAAGAGATCCAACCACAATGGAAACTGCAGATCCTTCGCATTTCAGTTGATTGGGCAAAGTTGGGCACAAAGTTCACAAAATATTTTTGAAAGTTTGACTGCTGGTCATGAGATAATATATACAGATAGCTACGAATGTACTGTATAGGTCTTATAAATTGTGGCATGATAGTAAAACTAACTGCATGAGAGGGACACTTCCTCAATAGCCTGTCGAGATTGTTGTATCTTTTAGCTTCACCAAGGATGCATGGCTTTTGTCTTTTGAAACAGAATATAAAAATTATATATATTTTTCATTTAGTGAACATACCTGCAAACAGCGCACACAAAACAATCTGGGTGGTAGGTTTTTCCCAGGGCTGAAACCACTTCGCCCTCAATGAATTCATCACAGCTGAAGCACCGTGTGCCATAGAGTCTTTGATAGTCCAAAGTACAGATATAGTCTCCCTGTCTCACAAAAAATCCTCCTTGAGCCAGGTCACATCCACAAGCTACATGGAGACAAAAGACAGAGAGATTCAGAAGCCTGAAAACAAGCTGCACATGAAAGAAAATCAACCTTCATACATGATCAGAGTATATATGTATGCTACAGAAGCATCACATTTTGAGGGTTTCTATTCATAGAATACCTACAAGATTGCTATTCCTATTGGTCATCATCATATATACTGTGCATGTCAACAGGCTTATTTTATTCTATATAAAACATTAACCACACTCTGAAAGGCCTGACTGTTGAAAGCTGTGCTCCCAGGACACATACTGTGTTGGTAGGCCACTCACCTACATTTACTACAATAAACAAATGCATAAGGGATGCAAAGCCTCACAATCCAAAGTATTGCATAACCAGTAATCTATGACAGGCTGTTACCAAGGCTCTTTTGCAAGTCCACCCCCAAGGTCCCACTAAGTACTGGAAGGATAAAAACCCATCAGTACTGGAAGGATAAAACCAGGTCATGTTACCAGAAAAAAGGGAAAGGACAGAGCCAAGAGCCTGTGTGAGATTTTAGCAACAAAAGATTATCCACATCCAAATGGATCTGCACATTCTGTTAATGCTCAGACTGGATCTTTATAATATTAAGACTGTTATATTTATTCAAAGTTACAACAACATACCTGTCAACTGCTCTGACTTCATTTCTGAAACTGAGGTAGTATTTGCAGTAACAGTGTTCTGGCTCAAGTTCCCTCATTAAGGAATAACAAGACATTTCTGAGTCTCCAGAGGGTCATCCTAGTCTTATTATGGGGGCACTTAACATGCCCAGAGGTGGCAATAGAATTGCTCCTACGCGTCAGTTATGTAACTCAGAGTTGGGTGCAACCTGTATTTCCATTGCCCACTGGGTAGAAAATAATTCTGTCCCTACTTTCCGTGAATCATCAGGGAGAGGAGATGGACTCTTTGCAGTGCTCTGCTGATCACCTTCCTGCAGTTTTGTTTTTTGACTGAGTACCTCCTCTAGCTCCCAATTATTTTTGGCTGCACAAATGGCTATGGAGAAAATCCACAAGAGTCAGTGCTGTTTCAGACAGGAATAATGCCCCACCACATTCTCTCATGGAAATCAGCAATCTCATTACTCAAAGCCCCTGCTCTCAGGGTCTCTGAAGGAGGAGATACCACAGGATCTCAATGAGGAAACATGGAGAAGCCATTGACGTACTGTTTCTTTCTCCTATGTACCCCAGGACACACTTGATCTCATCCTCTGGCACTTGTAGAAGTGAAGAAAAGTGTACCTGAACTATATATCATTTGTCACTATTCTGTTTTGTTGTGCTATTTAAACTGAGCAATAAGCAAAAACAAATCAATACGTATCTGCTGCTAATGTGGACGAACAGAAGATAGCTTCTAACTATCAGAGGAGAAGTGTTCTAGAAGAGCAGGCAAGAAACCTACCTAATGTTAAAATAAAGTTATTCTGTTTTATTAAGGTAAGGACATTGTCATATTTTTCCATAAATGCAATATTTATTAAACATGAAAATAATAAGAGAACCCAGAACTAATTTATAAAAGTATACATTTTTATACAACTACTCTCTGAGTGTCTGAAATCCCAATCCCTTCAGTCACATAACCACTGTTTAAAGAAATTTTCTTTTTCCATTGGCCATGTTAATGTATATGTAATATTACAGAAGAAGTGGATTGTCTGCTGAGATATATATGCTTAGTAGGCCTGTGCAAAGTGGCTAGTATTCACTTCAGATTTGGCCGATTTGGGGGACAGTGAATTGATTTGGTGATTTGAATCACTGTCCTAAATGTATTCGGCTGAATCTGATTCAGAGATTCAGCCACTGCCGAATTGGCCGAATCTCTGAATCAAACAGGCCCCATCCCCTACCCACTCTCCCAGCTTCATCAATGGCTGCCCTGCCTGGCCCCAGCATCCTGGCTCTTTAAAAAAGAAAAAAAAAGCCCTGCACTCACCAGATCCTGCCAGGTGGTTGGGGCGATCCCTGCTACCCCCTACTGCATGGTGGCTCCAACATGAGCCCCCAGAAGCCCCGATGGCCGCTACAGCAGCCAGTGAGTACGGGGCTTTTAAAAAAAAATTTTTTAAAGAACCGGGAGCTGGGGCCAGATGGGGTAGCCATTGATGGGATTGGGAGAGTGGCAGGGGATGGGGGCTTGTGGCAGAGCCCTCCCATGCAGCGTGGGGCAGTGAGGGGTAGTGGGGATCCACCTGGCATGGCCGGAAAGTGTGGGGCCATTTTTGTTGTTGTTGTTAAGAGCCTTGACGCTGGGGCCAGGTGGGGCAGCCAGACAGGGCTGGGAAAGTGGGCAGGGGCCGGGAGAGTACTCAGGACGGTTGTGGGGAACCTGGCAGGGGTCCTCCCATGGTCCCCTCCCCACTTCTTAGCCTTCCCCCACCCCCTACTTACTACCATAGAGCCTGGGTCCAGCTTCCTGCAGCAGTGAGCAGGGACTGCCTGAATCTCCAAAGCTCTCTGAATCTTTTCCAAATTAATTCAGAGACCTTTGATTCAGTTCAGACCTTTTTACTGGTCTCCCAATTCGATTCAGATTCGGAGATTCGGCCGCCGAATGGTCTACATGTTTGTCACTCAACTGCGATTAGATCAGCTCTTTAGCTCGTTAAGACAATCATGTCTCCTCTTGTACATCAGTGACTGGTGATTCAATTTAGAGCGTGAAAAAGATATTTATGAAAGAGAACCAAAATATGATTTAATATGTCTGTTAGAATACTGGTTGCTTTCATGCCATCACTTCTATGATAACAACTTTCAAAGACTTGAGCGAAATTGAGTTTTAAATGTGTCACATAGAGGTAAACTATTTTTTTCTCCATGATAAATTGTAATGAATATGGATATTTTCCATGAAATGTTAGGTTTATTGAAAAACAAGTTGTCAAAAACGTTTTGAGGAAAACTTTCAAGTATCTGAACATCATGCAATTGTTTTATAGCTGTGAATTTGACAGGACTGTCATTAAGGTCCATCAACAAGTATTGATTTTCAGTGTCTTAGCATCTCAATTGTTTAATCTGATTTGTTCTAAATCTTGATATCACTTTAGCTTTCCTGAACTTGGTTCTTGCACGTGGTTACCAGCAATTCCAGGGTACATGCCAGACTTCAGTACAGAACACAACACTCCTACAGAAGAGGTCCGATTGATCTAGAAAGCCGAACAGAATGGGCACGCACATGCTTCCATCAATACTTTACTGTATTTTCTTGCATACAACATTCACCTCCTCCCCACCCACCAAGACTGCAGTGCATGCATTAAGAGAGGAAGCTGATTTTCTGACCGAGACAGAAACACCCTTCTTTGATTCCTGCTCCAAAATACAGCAACAGCAACATTACTATTTATGCTGAAGTATGCAGCTACTATTGAGCCTGCACTTTAAGGCTACATGTTATGGGTTCATACACAGTTAGCATATACCACTATTTTTAAACTTTTGCATAAAGACACTTGTATTATTCTAGGCACAAATTTGTTCTCGACTGCAGGCAAGCAGCTGGTATGCCTGCTCTCTTTTTCACATGTATTCATTATAATAAAGTGGTCTGCTGGAATGGAGGTGGTGCAGGATGGAGTATTGGCTGCTAGCATTTTAATAAAGATTTCAAGTCACATGGACTTCCTGACTCTTTACAAACTGCATAATCACATAAGGCCTGCCACCACATAAAAGTGAAACTACTTAGTTTAACAGTACTTGAATAAAAACTAAATAAAACCACATTACTGGCCACGTTACAGCTTTATATTAATCATTCCTTCATACTGCAAAGATGGAGATGGACACACAATGCACCCATTATTTTCCTTGCTCCCCTAGATCCTGCTACAATGGCATGTCTACATGAGATGGTGACTGTGCAATAGCCTGATACTACCGCACAGTAGTGTTGTGTGGCAAAAACCCTGATGTGACGTTACTGTGCAGTAGTATTAGGCTACTGCACAGTAGCATTACAAGAAATCAACAAGGGTGATGTTGTGGTGGGGGTCTGCTATAGAGCACCAGACCAGAAGAAAGTGGTAGATGAGGCTTTCTTCAAACAGCTAGCAGAAATTTCTTGATAACAGGCCCTGGTTCTCATGGAGGACTTCAATCACCTTGACATTGGTTGGGAGGGCAATACAGCGGTGCACAGACAATTCAGGAAGTTTTTAGAGAGTACTAGGGACTACTTTCTGGTGCAAGTGCTGGAGCTGCCAACAAGGGCCCAAGCTTTTCTTGACCTGCTGCTCATAAAGAGGGAAGAATTGATGGGGAATGTAGTAGTGGATGGCAACTTGGGCAGCAGTGACCACGAGATGATAGAGTTCAGGATCTTGAGGAAAGGAAGGATGGAGAGCAGCAGAGTAAGGACCATGGACTTCAGGAAAGCAGACTTCGACTTGCTCAGGAAACTCATGGGCAGGATCCCCTGGGAAGCCAGACTGAGGGGGAGAGGAGTTCAGTAGAGCTGGCTGTACTTTAAAGAAGCCTTAGTGAGAGTGCAGGAACAAACCATCCCTATGCGCAGGAAGACTAGCAAGTATGGCAGAAGAGCAGCTTTGCTTAGCAGGGAACTCTTGTACCTTGATTTTAGCAAGGCTTTTAATGTGGTCTCCCATAACATTCTCGCAGGCAAGCTATGAATGAACTGTAAAGTGAATAGAAAACTGGCTGAAGCATCAGGCTCAGAGAGCAGTAATCAATGGCTCGATGTCTAGTTGGCAGCCGGTATCGAGTGAAGTGCACTAGGGATCAGTTCTGGGGCTGGTTTTGTTTAATGTCTTCATCAATGACCTGGAAGATGGCATCCTCAGCAAGTCTGCAGATGACATCAAGCTGGGGGGAGTACTAGATATGCTAGAGGGTACGGCTAGGATTCAGAGTGACCTAGATAAAGTGGAGGATTGTGCCAAAAGGAATCTCATGAGGTTCAACAAGGACAAGTGCAAAGTCCTGCAGATAGGGTGGAACAATC